CAGCGGCGGCAGCCCTTAAATATAAAGGTAGTATAAAAGGTTTTCCCGATATGGCCCCAATATGACTGTGAAGTCTTCCCAGCGTTCCTTGAGGCAGCACAACGTTACAATTTGTTGACACTGAGACACTTTCAATGCTGAACTACCTTCAGACTCTTCAGATTGCTGCAGCCACCAAAAAATACGACGGAGCTGATTCGCATTGAGTAGTTTGCCTTGCCCTGGAGCGCGCCCGTGGACAACTTGATGTTGTACCTGCGCAAGGCAATACCCAGCCCAGTGGCTAAGCAGAAGACACTGCTCTCATGCCTGCTACTACTTTGCCGCTTTTCCAAAAGTTGCTCTTGCCATAACTTTTGATGCTGTTGTAATATTGTACCTATGGCTTGGACATTTCGCGTGATTGCCACCATGCCAAGGCACCACGGAGTGTCGGTGGCGTCCTGGAGTGGCTGCTCAGCATTGTGCAGTCAACAGTACGCAGGCAACCTCTTGCGATGAAACAGCCCCTCGACAGAGAACCGAAATGAACCGAACATCCATACATCCATAGTGGTGCGGGAACCAGTCTTGCAACACTCACCTGTTACTCTAGGGCATCTAACGTCCGGCCTGCTCCTGTCGCACTGCCGTCTTCGCAAGTTGAGTTGCAAAGTCCCTCTCGAGGTGTTTCACAAGCTCCTGCAGGCTGAGGCGTCACGCAAAAAGAGAAGCATGTTGCTGATCTTCCTTGTTGGCTTCTTCCCCCTGTTGAAAATCGATGTCACACCACTGCCTAAGCACAGACCAATCGGAGCGCTAAAAAGACTTCCGTCCCTGGCCCCCCTTTGCTCTTAGGCGCCTTCGCATCAAGGCTTCCCGTTCTTCGGTGGCCTTGGCCTTCGGAACGTGCCCACGGACTTGCGAGGGCGGCAACATGAAGTGCCGAGGCGCGATGGTGCGGATGCATTGCACGGCCGCATCGTCTTTGGTGTAAACCCCGCTATCAATCAGGTCCTGAACATGCGCAGAGCAGAACAGCTGCGAACCACCTGCACCGTGAGCGAGCGCCTGCGCTTTGGCCTCCAGCTCGTCGGCTTGCGCAAACGCATTGGACAGGCACAGCTGCGCTCCACCAGCCCAGCCTCTGCAGCAAACATAAAACATACAGATACACACAGAATGTGCCTTTCTATCTGAGACTACGACCGAAAGAGGCCAAGCACCGGTCATTCTCCGATGCGACCTCTATCGCCCATTCCTCAAAAAAATGTAGGATGCAAAGTCAACGTCTCCATGCATCACATAATACATCTTGCTGTGCTGCGGACCTCCGGGACGACCCCGTGACCTTAAACGCTTCCCTCTTGAGATTGCCAGAATGGACAGCTCAATGGCCCACCTGTTTCCGCTCCGTTCGGCTTTGGCTGCCATTGCCCACGATACTCCAACACTGAATCCTGCTCAAGCCGCTAGCGGCGTCTGCCAGTCTGCCACAAGTGCTCAAGCATGCGCAGTTTCTGTCCTTGGTGCTGGGAGTACCTGGCATGACATCCCTCAGACGAGCACAGGGAGAAGCACTTTGAGCTGGCCTGCACCCTTCAGCAGCTCCAATATCCGAGCTGTGGCCACATCTGGAGCCTGTCAATATCAGGTCAACATGAGCGGGGCAAACGGTTTCAACGTGTGTGTGCGCGCGCATCGCATCTACCAAGCAGGATGCACCATTTTCGTCGGACGATCTTGCGCAGCGTCCTCCTGAGCAAATGCAACCTCAGCCACATTCTTCTTCGGGTCGAGATGCGCAGGTGTCTGCCCAAGAAATGGCAAAGGAGCACCCTCCTACGTCGCAGGATGCGGGAGACCAGCGAGAAGGATCTCCTTCTTCTGCACTTCTGCACAGATGGTGGCGCATGTCGGGCGGGCGCGGATGTAGTGGGCGCAGTGGTGAGCTCAAAGAGGCAAATCTCAGAACCCAGAGCGTCGTCCACACTTGTTATGAGCTGTATGGCCCAGCCCTCCTCCTCTAGCGACCGCTGCATGCGAGCAAGCAGTTCAGGCTGGTGTGCTTCCTGCGCCCAAAGCACCTTCAACGGTGGCGTTCCTCTGAAAAAGCGGGCCACTACCTGCAGGACATTGAGCAGCGGCTCATACTGCGGCTCATGGTACAAGACGTCTGACATCAGCACTCTGCTGAAATCGTGGCCCTGAGAAAGCCAGCTCGTCTCTGCCTGCTGCCAAAGCAGTGGTTGTGCCGTGCAGGCCGCGACCTCACCATTGAGCTCAAGATTCGCTTGCAGGAGTGGGACCAGACTTGGAAGGTCAGTGAGCATCAGCCGCGGTGCACCTAGCTTGCGCGCCACCAATCCAGCCAAACCAGTTCCTGCACCCAGCTCCAGCACCGGGGATCTACCTGCCCACTCCGGAGAGTCAGCCAGGTGTCGTGCCAGGAGCAATGCCGAATCCCAGACTGTGCCGCCTCAAGCGGGCGGATCATGGAATTGTAGGTCGTGCGGTTAACTTTCCCTCCAACCCTTGCTCCCTTTCGTCCGGCCTGTTGTCATCGGATCGCTGCTTTCCCATCCCGGCATATGTGAAGCTTGTGATACAACCACCGACTCGGTGGAAGCAGCTTCGCCTGGATGCGAAATCAGCAGGAAGACAAGCTTGCTCGTAGGATGTCACGCAAGCACAGCGTTTCTTTCACAACTTTGGTACCTAGAATCAGCCTCACTTTGGCTTTAAAGCGGCGTGTGTAGTCGCAAAGGGACCGCCGCCACATCACAGTCTCCAAGTTGCGGAGGTCCTCTCATGCACTTACAAGAACATGCTAGAGGCCACAAAGGCTGCTATTGATCGGTGTAGTTCACTCTGGCCTCAAGCCGGATACTGTCGATCGGGGCTCGAGAGCCACCCCCAGCCATGACGCAAAGTGTTGACCTACATTAGCTACTAAAAGTCAAGGGCACCAGCGCATGAATGCGCATTGCATGGGCTTGGGCCAGAGAAGCACAAAGGGCTAGATATCCGGAATGCTGCCGCAAGCCACTGCAATCAGAACGTGCCTCGGGAACACAGGGGGCCATGTCGAGTCACCTGCACACAACACGGCTTCAGTTACATGTGCCGCTGAAATAGTCCTGCAAAGCCTGTCCAACCTCGACATGAAAGGTTCTTTCCAACACAGCGACCGGAAACCTAACGTGTGTAAAGTGTTCTTCTGCCGCACTGGGTACAGAAGCTGCGGATGTCTGAGTCTGCAGTCATAGCAAGCGTGCTCTATTCTGACTGCTTTGGCCAAGAAAGCGCACAGCTGCGACGCGGTTGTACAGCAAAAACACGTCTGCACGTGCCAGCGATGTCAAGGCGCAACTCTTTTCTTTGCCCATTCTTCTAGGGGAGAGAGAGAGAGAGAGAGAGAGAGACAGAGGTCCAAAGTCCCGGCCCTCTGAGCGGAGAGCAGCAGCGGGCCTGTGCCAGAGTCCTTGATTGCTTGATGGATTGCAAGATACAACGACGGCCAGACTTATGCAGAGTGCGGCGCACATTCATGTACGTCGCGCTTTGAAGAAAAAGACAGAGCATGGCTGAGGCATGCTGAGCCACGATGCATTGTGTGAATATACCCTTGGCAACCGTCGAGTCTAGCTCCATTCACCAAAACTGCATGACAAGCCACGGGGCGTCGACAGGAACTTGAGCAGGCTCTCCACGGGATAGGCCGAGGCCAGAAACTGGCTCCCAATGAGACACATGCCCTTCAGCATTCTTCAGCGGAATGACCTGCAAAAAAATGCACAGCGGCGTATACAGTACAGTAGATCTGCCTTAAGGACAAAGTCCTGCCTCGCGTTCAGCGCTGGCCCTGCGCCTGGGCTCACATGATCTCACGTGCTGCCGGCCTGAAAATCGCGTCACATTTGCTTGACAGGCTTTGCTGCCGGCCTCGAGTGGGGACGCGGCTCGCGCTGTTTGCGCTTTGCGCCAGCTCCAGGGGGGGCAGTTGCCCGTTGAGAGGCTGAGACACGGGCCTAGAGGCCTTTGGTGGATCCAAGAGGCTCCGGTAGTGGGCAAGGTCTGCTTCCAGCTGACTAACGCCAACCAAGTACCGCTCACACTCTGATTGAGGATCAGTCGCAGACGGTTCTGCGAAGTGCTGCAGAAGAGAATTGCGTAGCACTTCCAGTGTATGAACCACTCTGTGGAGATTTTCAACCTCCCTTGGCAGCATCTTGGCCAGCACCGCACCTCGGAAGCCTTGCAAAGCCTCCTCGAAGCGCTTCCCCGTTGCTTCGACACCCCGCAAGTTGCACTCGCGAGACGGGATTGTTGGACTTGGAGTTTCTGCGCTCGTCGTCACTTCCTGTCTGGGCTGAGTCTGAAGGGCCTTAGTTGCTTCTGCCTTGATGGCGTCGAAGGCTCGGAGGGTCTCTGGGTCAGGGCTTCGTGGATCCAAAGGCGCAAGCCGGGCACCCAGGCGCCGTGCCGCATCACGTAGTGGCCCGCTCCCAGCATTGCCCGCAGAGCGCGCAGCCCTTTGAAGCTGGGACAGCACAGTGGTAGCAGCCTCTGCTGCAGGCGTCGGCGGCAGAGCAGACAGGTTTGCTTTCACCTGCGCAGGCTTGCTCATGAAACTGTGTCAAGTAATGGGTTGGTGTTGATATCAGCTAAAAAAGGTTTCGCTGTGCTTCGGGGACCAGGTCAGGCCCCGATGGGATAGTCTTGCACGTGCATAATAATGCATCCGCTGTCCTCTAATGAGAGTTCAAGAAAGTGTTCCTAAAACAGAGAAGGTTCCAAGCTTACGGCCAAGCAGCGGTTCTACTTGATGAGGCGTCTAGAAGGTTCAAGAGGGCGATAAGGTTTCTCCAAGGCAAACTTCACAACTACAAAAAGGAAAACATGAACGTGACTGCTGAGAGTTGGGGATGCCATGTTCGGCCCGCCTGCATCGTGTGAAGGTGAGCTTCCAGGTCAGAGGCCAAGATGCGAAGATCTTCCGCAAAGGCTTGGATGCTGGTCAGGGTCCAGTTGCCGAGGCAGGGCAGCGATGGCAATGGCAGCGAGTCAAGTTGGGAGGCCGCCTCACAACCCACCAACTGGTAGGTCTCCCCAGGCATCTTGCAGGGCTTTGCCTGCGCTTGCCCAGTCCAGCCAGGAAGGCAAATGGCTGAGACTTCAAAGCCTGAACGCTGTAAGGACGTCTCCGTAACCAGGTAGCCTGTAGCGTTTGCAGCAAGGCATGCCCCACCCGTGATACCCGTGTCGGTTGTCTCAGCCTCGCATCCGCTGAGCTGGTATGGCTTCCCAGGCACCTCACAAGCCGAAACTGTTGCAAGGCCTTGGAAGCCGACAGCGCATGCTACCTGCACAGAGAAGGCAGCCCGGGCCAGAGAGTCTTCGGACACCACATATCCACTTACATTCTGGGCTGGTAGGCAGGAGGAGTCAGAAGCGGAGCCATTCCCATACCTGGTCAAGCTCTCGAGCGCCTCTGATCTTGTGACGTTAGCTTCGGCTAGAACTGCCGTTTCCAGCATGTCGCCTTCCCAGGCTTCAGGTCCATCCTCTTCCAGATAATCTGTAGCTTGGCTGGCTGAGGCATCAGAAGTTGGACTTTTCTTGGAGCCATCCGACATGCTCGCCTGAGATGCCTCACCAACGGGGCGCACTTCTGGGACGTGTGGCGCAGGCACGCCATCATCTAAGTAAACCTCTTGCTCCGCCATGCTGTCCTCGGAAACCACCGTTGCGTCCTCGGTCGTTGCGTACGATCCCTCAGCCTCTGCATCCTCACTGTCTGCGTCCTCGATCTCATCATCATCACCCTCATCATCATCGTTTTCATCATCCTCGCTTTCCTCATCTTCGCTCTGCATGTCTTCGGCGTCCTCCGTGTCCTCACCGTCTTTCTCAGGCTGGGGTTCCACCTCCGAGGGCTGCTCATCCAGGCTCCTTGCAGAGCGGAGGCATAGCTGGATCACAAAGGCCCTAGTGGGTCGTAGCGCACAATTAGCGCACACAGCAGGATTCAAGTCCTGGAAGAACTCATGCTGGAGCTGTTGGAGTCCTTGGCACATCTTGGCAGAATCAGACCATGGCGTGCCTATGCCTGCGCGAGTCTTTTTACTCAGCGGCCTTCAGCTCCAACAGTGACGAGTGGTCCTCCCACTCGTCGCTGCTCCGGTTGCCTAACAACGGAAGCCGGGAAATTGAAATGAGCCTTTCTGTACTCCATACACTCCAGAGCATTTTGACTCCAGGCTTGCACGTGCAAGACACTGACTCTCTCGATCCCCTACCATGAAGCAAAGGCGCATTCGCGCCAGAGTGTCGCTAGCTGGGCTCCTTGACCTCAGCACCCAAGCTCATAAGCTTAGAAACCCTGACTCTCAGAAAGCTCCTGACAGCGCATCACAAGCTGCTACATGTGCTGCCACAGGTCAATCTGGGGGCATTCCCAAATGCCAGTCTGTTTTGCTGCTGCTGCTTTGACTCCATAGCGGTAGGGTCGCTGGACACAGCCAAAGACACTCCTCTGTGACTCTTGCTGCCCAAAACTTCTGCGTGCTGGCCATCGGAAGTCTTTCTGGCAATGCCAAGAAGAACTGTGCACCAGGTAGTTAGTATGTGATGAGCTCATACACAGGATCATATGCAAATTATGGAGGCTCCGCAGAAGCAACGCTAGATTTTTCCAGCAGGGACTGTTTGGCCCTCAGTCCATGTCAGACTCCTCATCAGCCATGCCGCGGATGTACAGTACCTGACGTCTGCAGGTGTTCCAGAATGAGGACTTAGGGCCCAGGACACATAATCCTTAAAAACCAGCATTCATAAAGATCAGAACTTTTGTGGTCCTGACAATAAGAATTTGCGCTAGTTCTGGCTTGAGGGACCGTTTAGACATACTCACCGTGACGGAACATTTGCTCACCACGGCAAGTAGTGCACCGCAGTAGCACAACAACACTCTGCTGCTCCCCCCATCCTGCTCCCCCCATCAAAGCCCAGATCGCTTGGGAGCACAATTTTTTGGGATTTTCAAGGGCTCAAACTCCCAAAATGCGTACTCCCAGCTGCTCCCCCCATCTGAGCCCAGATCGCTTGGGAGTACTTTCGGGACTTTCAAGGGCCGAAACTCCCAAAATCTATACTCCGAGACGCTCCCCCCATCAAAGCCCAAATCGCTCGGGAGTACACATTTTGGTACTTAAGGGCCGAAAAAAGGTACTCCAAGATGCTCCCCCCATCAAAACCCAGATCACTTGGGAGCACGCATTTTGTACTTGAAAAACCCCAAACTCCCATAATGTGTACTCCTCCCATAGGGCCAAGATTGCTTGGAAGCATGCAGTTTGGGACTTTTGAGCGCCCAAACTCCCAAAAGGTGTACTCCCAGCTGCTCCCCCCATCAAAGCCCAGATCGCTTGGGAGCACGCATTTTGGGACTCGCAAGAGGCCAAAATGCCAAAACGTGTATTCATTTTGCCTTCAGGCTCTTGTCTGCATGCCCGGCAGACACATGTTGCCTGCAGCCCTTCCACAGATTAAAAGCTGCATAGACTCAAATGCATGTTCCGAACTTGCTGGGATCGCCCCAAATCCAAGTCATTGTGAGAAGCAACCTGTCGTTGTGAGAGAAAACATGTCATGGCACCCTATTCTGGCAGACAACCCTTTCAAAAGCCCTTCCTGATTGTTGCTGTCTGACCAAAGGCCTGCTCTATGAATTGGAGCTTCAAAAAAAAACTGAGTTGAGAAGAACCAAGGCAATTAAAGCATCATGAAGATCTTTTGGGGGGCTCATACACAGATGTTTGACTGTTGCAAATGGGGACATAAGGGCTTGTTTCAACACCAAACAAAGAATGGCCTTCCCATGACCCCACGAAGGCTCGCAACGTTCTAAAAACAAACTCCATGGTCCCATCCCTACTTTGACCTAAAGAGACGTACGCACTCTATGGAGAATATAGTAGTTTCCATTTTATTTTCCATTATCCCCAATAAAACCCCAATATTATGAGTATATCTGGAATCCTCTCCCCAGAAGGCTTGTCAGCTCACGTTGTTGCAGCGGATGAACACCTCCCCGAGGTTTCCACGGAAGCTGCCATCGACCTTTTGGGATCTGGGTGGCTTAAAACAAAGCGGATATCTGTGGCTGCGTGTAGCATGTATGCCGATATACATACATGCATAAAGCATAGATTATGGGTGTAGATAGATAGATAGATAGATAGGTAGATAGATAGATAGATACGCATATATCCACACTACGGAAGCATGTCTTCCATATGTACGGAACATTTTGAGGATATCTGGGGAAGCGTCGGGCCCATGGGTCGGGCCCATGGAACAAGGATTGAGTTCTTGGGACTGCTACAGCCGCCACCGCTGAAGAATGTCTTCTGCAGGTCTTCAACATGGATGGACGGTGCTTTGAAGGATCTCTTTTACATGTACAGGGAACCTGTTCATTTTGGGTATATCCCATGGGGACTTTTGTAGAATCTGCCGTTCGAGAGTCTGAGGACAGAGCCCACTCTTCTGTGTTCAGCCTTTCAGACTTGACGGAAAGGAATGAGACACCCAGAAGAGGCATCTCCCAACATGAGAGTCCCCCATAGACCTGTTATAATAGAGTAGTTTCCATGTTCTTTTCCATTATCACTGTATAACCCCAACATAACGCCTTTATGACCCATAGTCCCCATTGGGGTCATATCATGTCATACTGAAGTTATACGGGGATAATGGAAAGAAATAGAAACTACTACTATGGGTTATATGAGGTTTAGGGTTTAGGCCTTTGCTCTAAACATGCCAGACAGGGACTCTCTGATTCTGAGAAACCCCAGATACACGGATGAAAACATGCCGGAACAGCAGCTGGAGGTTCATGTAAGGGTCAATGGACCTGCGCAGCGGTACAGTCTCAAGTCTGCGACTCTTCAGAAAACATGTGCGCAGCTGTCTACGACTGTGTCCACAATAACTTAAGATGACTAGTAGTACCATGACTGCGAACATGAATGATTACCACTATCTCTCTTAGTGTCAATACCAATATCTCACGCGCTATTGCTAAAGCTTCTCATGATGCTGTGACCGCTTTTTTTGCCCAGGCTGCCCAGCTCGGTGGCCATGCGTTGCAGCATCACCATTGCACTGCACAATGGAGATTTCAGGGCTTGCTCAGAACTCGCCGCAACCGTGACTTGCAGGAAATGTTACCACAAGAGTTTTGACGTCTTTGCATTGTCACCAGCATCACCTTCATTACTACCCGCCGCATTTCCGAATACTGCTAGTACTCTTTCTCCTGCTCCTGGTCTTACTCTGCCTGCCCCTACAGGAAGCATACTGCTGCTTCTACCGCTACAACTAGTGGCAGTCGTCATCATCTTAAAGAGAAAGAAGTAGCGGCGACAGATAATAGCAATAGAAGCAGCAGTGGCGGCAGCAGTGGCGGCAGCAGTGGCGGCAGCAGTGGCGGCGGCAGCAGCTCAGTAGTGCAGTAGAAGTGGTGCTTTGTCAATGTCTACCCTCACGAGCAAGCCCGTTTACCACTTGGCAAATTGAGACGCTCGCCAGAGTTACACGGAGAGCTGCTCCATGAACTCAAAGAGCGCTCTGCTTGCGGGGTGCTACTCAGTTGGTCCTGCTGCTTCGAGTTGCACTACAAACAGAATGTGTTGACAAGCGCACCCCAATACACTACCAGGTGCCTCCTGGAGCGATTGCTCCCGGCAGCTCCATCAGAACTAAGCAATCCGTTCCAGATGTGCGCGGAGGGCTTGGCCAATCGCTATGATACATCCTAGACCAGCGCGAGGACCATGATCCTCGCAACCATCATTCTAAGAGGCCGTACAATCTTTGGAAGGACCAGACCCTCGCCAGCCGACAGCTGTTCACTTCTTTTTGCCCACGTTGTTCTTGGAATTCCCCTGCATGTCTGTGTGGGCGTAGAAAGTCCAAAAGACAACGTCAAGCTCCGCTTCGACCCCATGATGTCGTTATTGCCGTCCCTAGTGTAGCGTCCATCATTGCTGTTGATACAATTGCTAGAATGATCATCCTTACTCACTATCATTTCTTTTACTACACTTCCCGCTATCACCAATGCCGCTTCATTCTGCGCATAAAACAGCTCTGGCAGCTGAAATCTCAGGCCTGTGTCTTGGACTTGTTAGACGTCTTGCCTGCCAAGAACTTGCGTGCTGGAGGCCTACCGCCTGTCAGTGCCACCGCATATGTCACACTTCGGCATGGGTTCCAGTGAGCCAAAATCCTTCAACCCCAAACTTAGCGTTGACGTGCACCTGACCTGTGGATGTACCTCGGCTCCCGAAGCAAAGGCCACAACCTCGGCAAATGAGAAGCTGCTCCCATCAAGATTCTTCGCAGCCCCCTGTAGAGGCAAGTGCAAGCTAAAAAAAATCCATGACGCCATGACGGGGGGCCCTTGTATGAAAGGTCTTGAATGGGGTATCCATGCCAGATGCCCACAATAATTGGTCAGGCGGCGGCCGAGCTCGGTGAAGCAGGTTTTGTGCTGAATATGTTCAGGAAGTCAGGAACAAAAGTTGGAGCAGTTTTTTGCAGTAGCAGCCGAGCCCACATTTACACCCGATTGTGTATGGCCGCCAAGCATGCCCCATGAATGCGCGAGCTTTAGAGCCCGCGCGTTGCGGGCGTTATACATTTGCAGATGGACGCTCGGCTCGCCATTGCCACTCTTTGGAAAAGGGGTTCAACTAGCTCCCTGGATCCTAATTTTCGCACCTACCCCCGCTAAGGACGAAAAAGGCATAACTCCTAATCCCTCTGTCTGCTGCAATGTCCAAGCAGCCACGCATGGATACCCGCATATAAGCTTCTGCATACTAGTCTGCCTGAGACCAGCACAGCCGCAACAGCAGAGAAGTTTCAACCCGAAGATGAAGATCCGCCAGGCGATGCGGAAGGCAATCAGCGCAATCTGCACTCAAGTGATACTTTGATATGGACGTTCATATGGTGATCGCTGCTATCACTCGTGCCGCCGTTCCTCGTTCTGCTGTTGGGCAGGCTGATGTGATGTGCGTCATCTTCGCTCAAAAGACAAGAGCGTGCACCCAAGCCTGAAAGGTGATGTAGAGCACCTCGTCCAACGACAGGAAGCGACACTCAACAACCCAAAGTAACCGCTGAATCACAAAGAGAACCATGGAAAGTTCCGACAGCGACGCATTCCATAAACTTAGAACAAAACTACAGTATCCATGGCAACACATATCTCTGGCAAAAACATCATAGCCATAATCTGAGCAAGGCACCGCTACGACCCAAAAGCAGAAGAGCAACAAGTCTCCAGGAGTCCTGGAGATGATCCCTTTGTGCTCTGGCAGCAGCCGCCTTAGGTTCTGGCATGGCTGTTGTGTGGATTCATGTTTGACTACGCAAGGGCCAGCTGACGTGTTGACAAGCCAGTATGCGAATAACAAAAAACTCCAAGCCAGTGACTCAAAGCCATCGATGATGGTGTGGGTACCTGGCCAAAACCGCATGCCAGCAATGCCACGGCTCGTCCAAACCGAGAGCCTGCTCATGCCGTAGAAATGAGGGTTCTTCCTCGTCAACAGCTCGAAGAACAAGCCCAATTTGAGAAACATTCTGAAGTTAAGGCTGCTGATTCAATGATTCTAGAACTACTCATCCTGGCACACCCAGCCGAACCCTTCGCCAAACTGGCCACGCGAACCTTGTGACAGCATGGAATAGACTTTGGAGCCGTGCGCCTGACATCCAAAGGGCGTAGATGTTATTTCGGTCCTGTTGTCTTTTTGGGGGGCAAAAATTTTTGGTGAGGTATGGGGAGGAGGGCTCATGATGGGAGGACGGGTGTTGGGCGGCAGGGTCCCTCCCTGACGAGATATGATGAAAACAAATGAACAAAAAATAGTTCGGAGGGGGGGATGGGCGGGGGTTGCAGCCCCACCCATTTGCAAATCATGTAACATCATGGAAAGTCATGAAAATCAAAATCATAGGAAAAGGGTTGAAAACGATGAAACATGATGAAGTACCGAAAATGAAAGAAATGATAAAATGCTGAACAATGCTGAGAAGTTATCAACATGATGGAAACTCAGAAACATGAACCATCATAATGATGAAATTTGACGAAAAATATGTTGAAATTACAATGAAAATTATGAAGTGGGATGAAAGATGTTGGATAATCACGAAAATTCATGGCGATGATGGAAAGGTTTAAAGAACAAAAGCCTGATAAAACACGATGCCAGATGATGAAACAACATGAAAGGTGTTGCAAAATGATTACAGATCATGATGTAAAATGATTAAAGATGATGAAAGAATCAAACATGAGGGAAAATCTTGCAACAAAAAAATCAGATGAGACATGATGACCCGTTCTAAAGAAGCGCAGTAAGCTTCATAATTGGAAAGTAACACTAGTCATGACAGTAAATTTTATATGCTACTAGCAATAAGCAAAAGAGTACGAATACCCTTCTGCTTGTATCCATTTATGTCATGTCCTTCTTTCTGTCTTTCTTTTTTCTTTTCTGACTTGCGATCATTTCCTCATTTCGGTTTTCCCGTCTCTTTATTTACTTACTGTGACTTTTTTATTGATTTCTGCATTTGTCTCTGTCTCTCTCTCTCTCTCTCTCTGGTTGTCTGTCCTTCTTGATTGTTTGGTTTCGTTGTCGTTCATGCTGTGTGGTGCTTTCTTTTTTTCTATCTTTCTTTCTGTTCTTTCTTTGTTCTTTCTTTCTTGCTGTCTTGGTTTCTCTATATCTTTCTTCCGCGCTCTCCTACTCCACACCAGCTCTGCTTCTCCTTCCTGCATGGCCTGCATCACGCCGAAAAAAATGTGCAGACCCCCCAGAAGGCGACCGTGCGGGCGAACCTCCACGTGGTGGTCGCTGGGTGACACACTTGCACATAAAGTTGGTAAGCGGCTTGGAATGCATTTACATATCGGAAGCGGGGAAAGAGGTCTCGAAAAGGGGACAGATTGTCCGCGACAAATGTCTGAATTCGGCTTCGATGGCATTTGGGTTGGCAAAGGTGTCAGCTAATCCCTCGCCTCTCGCTGTTCGCTACTTTGATCTGGTTGGAGGTTGGGG